GCTGTTAAATGTTTCAATAAAACAATTGAACTTGGTATAAAAGTTGCATGTCAAGCAACAAGTAATTCTACCATCGCAGCAACATTTAATATGACAGATTTATTTTCTCAAGCATGGTACGGAACAGCAATGTATAATTTTGATTATTTTCAAGCCACTGATATTGATCTAAGTGGTATGACTAATGTAGTCTACTATTTTCCTAATTTAAACATGAACTATGGTACAACATGGCAAACACCAAATGTTCAAACTAATGCATTATCAACGCACTACTATAGACAAACCGATACTAATACATTACATGTATTTGGTGACGGATTAGCATACGGTAATGGAACGCTTACTCAACCGTAGTAATATTTACGTCACTTCATTCAGAGATGTACTGTCAAATTAACACAATGATGCTTATTCTTTGTGTTTTTCTTTAAAACTTTCATTCAATAAAAGATCTTTCTATGACATGAATGCTAATCATAAAACATAGCGTTGCATTCACATAAGAACTAGTATCAGTATGTGAAACTTTATTGATTAAAATCATTTGCGTGACTGAGAGTGTACGCTGGATTATGTCTCGATAGCTCAGTAGCTAGAACTTCTAGCGTGTTAACATAGATTTCTGGTTTCATTCCCAGGCGTGGCATATTCGAATTATTAGTTAACTTTGTTACCCAGCTCATCAGCGAAATACCAATATGATTGTTTTTGAGCTGTAAATTTAGTACGACCTGATTGGTTCACCCTTGTAAATGAAAAAAGTCGTTCGAGGGAATGCGGCGAGTACTCGAAAATACACTTTCGATGGGCCCTCGCCGAGGGCTCGATCCCTCAAAAAAATGAGACTTCGGACCCTCAGTATAAGCGTTTGAGGGGTTATCAATTTCAAGCCCTCGGATTTCAGATAGATAGTGAGCTCTCGAGAAAAATTTCGAACAGAGTTGTTTAGTATATGTATAGTATGATATTGAAGTCCAAAGGATGATATAGATTTCTGACGCTGTTGATAGTTGACGTATATGCACTGTCTATCTTGACGTGAAGAAGAGGAAAGCGGAAGGGAAAAATTCTTTTAATCATACAGTATGTGTGTTGTACAGTGGAAGAAAAGATAAAAAGAAATCGTCTTTGAGGTTGTTTTGTGCATGTCTGCCTATCCGTATAGTAGACTATGGAGTGAGGAAAGAAAAAACTGCCTATCCGTATAATATAGACTACGGAGTGAGGAAAGAAAAAATGTTGTGTGTCGTTTGACAATATGTTTGTAGAGTAAAAGTAAGAAAAGCAGGAGTTATTCATATTGTTATTACATGTGCGTATGTTTGTCTGTGTAGTGGTAAGCAATTGTTACCGCTTTTTGTTTATATCGCATGACGAATACGTTATTTTTACAATAGCCAGAAGTTTATGAGTGAAACGCGTTGGTAAATAATCATTTTTATTCTGAATAAAATCTTTAGAGCTTAA